ATTTTTTCATTATATAAAATGATTTACTGTAGATGGCAGGTGGATGGTTGATATTGCGGCAAGACATGCAAATATATGCAAAGATAGACTTGCATAACATGATGGATTTTCAGGCATCTAAATGAATGTCTATGAGGCAGCATTTGACGGGAGTTAGTATTGCCGTAGCACCATTTTTGTTCTGTTACTCTAGTCAGACAGGCGAGATCTTTATTATACACAACTACCTTTTAGCATCTTTTATTTGCCCGTAAGGTTTTTTAGAAAACTGTTTACATATGACCCTTGACCTAGTTACAGCTTGGGTTCTGTCTTGTGAATAAATATGTCAAATAAAGAAAAGGAAATGCAAGTTTATAGGCTAGCGATCTGCACGGGTCTGTTTCTGTAGGTTCAGGATCTGCAGCTTACAACACAGAACCCTCTTGTAGGGTACTTACACACAGAATGCACTTATTTGCAAGTATTCGTGGATATGTGTACACGCATGTAAAGTTTCTTTTAGCTTTTTTGAAATCAAGGGAAGGTTGTGTATATCTGTATATGAGCTTATTCAAATGTATATATGCACAAAAAATACTCACCAGCAATAGTTTTTTTTTTTTTTACTGATCTATAGGCAATGCAAGTTTACATGCCTGTGTGTAGAGGTCATTAAGAACAATGGTGTTTTTTGGCATTCTCTGTAAAGCAGGCCTTAAACATGCCTGTACTTGTTCTTTCACCTCTGCATTCTGGTCTCCACACACTGCACTATGAATGTGAATTTGAATTTGAGATCCTCTCTGACCCCTCGGTCCAGACCTCAAAGGGTATTAAATACTTAAGTGACATATGTGATAGGGGGTCCTTGGTTACCTTTAACCAACTAAAAATGAAACATGACCTACCAAACTCCCACTTTATCAGGTTTTCGCAACTACGCCATGCTTTTCACTCACAATTTAACATTGATCCATTACATTTGTTGGCTGATGATTTGGAGAGTCTTTTAAGGGACCCCTCCTTAGCAAAACCATGTTCAACTATTTAGAAAGCGCTCCTTCCCTGGATACATGTGGGTCTCGACCCACTACAAGCGAAGTTACGGGCAGAGGTTGAGGACTTAGATGCAGAGGATTGGGAGGACGTTTGGGACTATTCTCTCTCTCAGCTGGTGGCAACGAGAGATAAACTACAGGACAATTTTATGGTACAGGACAATTTTATGGAACAGTTCATAGAGGCCCCAACTAGGAATAATGCTCTGCTGGACCTGGTAATCTCAAACCATGCAGAGCTTATTATGAATGTCCATATAAAAGTACATCTGGGTAGCAGTGACCATAACATGATTTAACTTTATTGTTAGCTGTAAACAGCAAGCACATATGGGAAAAATAAAAACGCTCAATTTTAAGAGAGCTAATTTTCCAGGGCTGAGAGATGCTCTCCAAGACTTAGACTGGGAGGGAATATTGACTTCAATGAACACAACACAGAAATGGGAGTTCTTCAAAAAGACTGTATGTGAACACATTGCAAAATATATTCCCATGGGCAACAAGTTTAAAAGGCTAAAAATCAAACCTATGTGGCTTACGGCCAAAGTTAAAAAAGCTAAGATAATAAGAAAAGAGCTTTTATTAAGTATAAAAATGAAGGAACGCTATCATTGTTTAAACATTACAAAGTATATAAAAGAATATAAAAAGGCCGCAAAAAAGAAAAATGAACAACAGATTGTAAAAGATAGCAGGACCAACCCCCAAAAAATTCTTCAAATATATTAATAGTAAAAAGGTTGGTCTGAGCATGTAGGCCCTTTACAAAATAATCTAGAGTGGGTGACTGGGGACAAAGAGAAGGCAAATGTATTAAATACCTTCTTCAAGCTCTGTAAATACAAAGGAGCATGGGGGAGCTTTTGTCCATAATAGGCATGATATTGACACAGCTACAGATGATCCACATTGGCTCACAATTGATATGATCCAAAAATATTTAGACAGAATAAAGGTGAATAAAGCACCTGAACTGGATGGCATACACCCATGGGTCCTTAATGAATTGAGCCCTGTCATTTCAAAAAAACATTTCTAAATTTTAGGGACTCTTTAATGACTGGCATAGTACCACTGGAAAGTTCCCCTTATCCAACCCTTTTGGGCCCAAGTGATACAGACAATACGCAAGTGTTAACCACATGCCGCCCAGCCACTGTAAAATATGGCGGCAGGGTGGCACGGCTGGGCAAAAGCACATTTTAAAACGTGTGTTTTGTAAACAGGTAGGGGGCGTGCGAGGTGCGCCGCCGCCCCTACCTGTCCACTTAGTCGATCACAAGCCGCGGATGTCATCGCCGGGTCACAAGGTCGTTACCGGCTATGTCCCGGCGATCGGCGGCAATTGACAGAGAGCACAGCTGCAAGTATGTGCTTTCTGTCAGTTCCCTGACAGCTGTGCAGGACACGCTGATCGGGGACAGAAGAGTTTCTCTCTCCCGATCAGTGGTGTTCAAAGTACACACCCCCGCAGTAAAACACTCCCCTCACACAGTTAACCCTTTCCCTGAATAATAAAGTTAACCCCTTCCTCCCCCAGTGCCATTAGTACAGTGTCAGTGTTTTTGTTTTTGCACTGATCACTGTATTGGTGTCACTGGGGATGTCAGTGACAAGTCAGTACCCCCCAATGTCAGATTGTCCGCCGCAGTCCCGCAGTCCTGCCAAATCGCCGCCATAAGTCGCTGATCGCCGCCATTATTAGTATAAAAAAAAACTAAAAATCCCAGTATCTTTCCCGCCATGTAAACGCTATAACTTTCACGTAAACCAATTAATTTACACGTATTGGGTTTTTTTTTTTTTAGCAAAGCCATGTCGCAGAATGCATTTTGGCAGAAATTTATGACTAAATTTGATTTTTGAATTTTTTTTTACTGGACATGACATGTTTTTATAGCAAAAACTGTCCAAAATATTGTTTTTTTTCCTCAAAATTGTCACCATTTTTTTTTTATAGCGCAAAAAATAAAAACCGCACAGGTGATCAAATACCACCTAAAGAAAGCTCATTTGGGGAAAAAAAAGGACGTAAATTTCATGTACCATATTGCATGACCGCGCAATTGTCCGTTAAACTAGCGCAGCGCTGTGTAGCAAAAAAATGGCGTAAATTCCATTATCATTCTATACCATAGTTTGTAGACATAACTTTCACACAAAGCAATCAATATACACTATTGGGATTTTTTTTACCAAAAACATGTAGCAGAATACATTTTGGCCTAAATTTATAACCAACTTTGAGTTTACTATATTTTTTTATTGCTGAAAGTAAAAAAATATTGTTTTTTCTTCAAAATTTTTGGCCTTTTTTTGCTTATAGGTGAAAAAATAAAAAGTGCACAGGTGATCAAATACCCCGAAAGAAAGCACTATTTGTGTGAAAAAAAGGACAAATTTCGTTTGGGTGCAGCATTTGCATGACCGCGCAATTATCAGTTGAATTAGTGCCGCGCCAGAGTAGCAAAAAGAGGCCTGGTCATTAAGGGGGGTAAATCCTCTGGAAAGTAGTTAAACATATCCATTTCACTAGACCCCTATACACTGCCTATTTGTATTGCCAATCCCAGGAATGTCTAAAAATGCCAAGAGATTGGTAACAAGCATCCTGACTGCGACCAAACAACTTATCCCCAACACTGGGGATCTGCTGTAATCCCAAACCCAACTTTTACATAACAGCAGATTAAGTGATTGGAACACTTTACCCAATATGGCAATATTGGGACAGCTCACCCTATGGTCTGTCTTAACTAAATCCCATCTCTTCTGATGAACCTTTTTCCTTACATATCCTACACATATCACAAGTGGAATTCATTTCTGTTAAACTGGTGTGCACCTTACCCTATCCTGTTTTTGTTTCTTATTCATTAGTTCAGTAGTTATACTTTGTTTACTTTTTTTTAATCCATCTTTTTGGAATTCTGGACATTTTATGGTGTCTTTTGGCTACTTCCCATTTGTAATCAGACTCTGATTCCAAAATATTCACAAATGTATTGATATGATGTGAAATGATCATAGCTATTAGAGATACTATGTATAACTGAGATTCTGACAAATTATTTTCTTTTTCATCATATCTTATATCTCTTATACTGTACTGAATATTTTCATGCACTGTTTTTCTCTGCAATCACCTGTTTGGATTTTTAAATCCTGCTACTAGCCTGAAAAAGGAACTTAATAAAAACTACAATTTAGAAAAAAAAATTGTACCTGTAACTCTACCGAAAACGCTCTTTTGCTGCTGACATTTTACAAGAGAGCTTCCATAATACAGAGACTGGTGTAAATTTAAAGAAATTACAGCTAGAAAATATTTTAGATTGCTTGGCTCAGGAGTCTGTCCTCAACTTGAACTAGATTGTAGAGGTATTCAGTTGCAACCCAGCCTGCATCCCAGTTTATTTAGGTCTAACTGGCCCATACCTGTTGTACATGTAATGTTATCTCTAGGTTACCTAATCAATTGAAGGACACAAGTCAAGCCGCCATTAGTAATGTAATTAGTAATGCCCACGTAAATTTAAAGTGTAAGTTTACCTAAAACAAAAAAATAAAAAATCAGCACAAGGGGCATTGCTTACCTTGAGTGAGACATGTTGTTTGTGCTGCTGTGGCCTCCTTTGACCCAAGTCTTCATCCGCCATTCCCCCTATTAATTCCTCCATTCCCACCTATTAATCATCTGTCTATCCTCCATCAATAGATCCTGCTTCGTTCATTGAATGTCCCTTGTGCTGATTTTTTTAAAAATAAACTTAAGCTTTAATTATGTTTATGGCAGACAGTTAAACCAGTGTTTCCTTAAAATCAGCATTGTTTTTTAGTAGTTTATGAAATTATAATAAGCAGGCTATGTCTACTGTTGAAAGCTCAAAAACATTTGTCCTTTTAGTAAATTATAAAATAAATGATTTTCTTTACATGTTCTACTTGTCTCCGCAGCTCTGCTTTGTGATGTTCTGGACTCCGAACGTATCAGAGAAGATCCTAGTTGACATCATTGGAGTAGATTTTGCCTTTGCAGAGCTGTGTGTTGTCCCTTTGAGGATATTTTCCTTCTTCCCTGTACCAGGCAAGTATTGCAACAGCTTGTTGTCACCACAAATCACAGCTTTAGTGTCAGTGTAACCTTGTAAATTGTAACTGTTCAAAACCACATTAAGGGCAAGGTGCCAAAAGTATTACTGTGATACTAAAGTCTTGTTTTTTTTTCTTAAAAATAACAAACATGTTACACTTACCTGCTCTGTGGAATGGTTTTGCACAAGGCAGCCAGGATCCTCCTCTTCTTAGGTCCCACAATGGCACTCCTGGCCCCTCCCTCCTGTTGTGTGCCCCCATAGCAAACAGCTTGCTATGGGGGCACTCAAGTAGGCGCACTCCTGAGCCTCTGCTCTGCGTGTCCATTCACACACACAGGCTCCGCCCCCTCCCTCTCCAGATTGGCTCACTGGCTTTGAATGACAGCAGCGGGAACCAGTGGCTCCTGCTGTTGCCTCAGTCAATCATGAGTGAGAGTCCCTGGAGAACTGAGGCTCTTGTGGACATTGCTGGATCAACCGGGGGCTCAGGTAAGTGTTAGTGGGGGCAGGGGGGCTGGTACATGCAGATGTTTTTTTTACTTTCATGCATAGAATCCAACCGTGAGACTTTAGAACCACTTTGAAGTGGAAGTAAACTCACTTTGTTGTTTTGTACCTACAGGTAAGCCTATAATAAGGCTTACCTGTAGATACAGTAAACATATCCTAAACATGCACCGTTTAGGATATTTTACATGTGAAGCAGTCGGTGATATCACTGGTGCATGCACACTGTGCTCTCAATGGATGGCATGCCGTCCATTATGAGAGCTGTTCAGTGGCCATGACTCCCACTGGCATACGCAGTAGTGATGCCATCGAAACTCAGCCATTCAAACAGTTGGAGCCCACAAACTCAGAAGGAAGACCGGGTGAAGATGGGATCTCTGTCAGCAGTGACAGGGTGGCGCTGGAGGGATCTGTTTTACAGGTAAGTCTCTCATAGTGTGCTAGTATGTGGTGCACTATTCCTTCCACTGACACCAGTGATGGGGCAACATTCCCCCCCCCATCATGCCACCTTTCTCAGCCTACTCAGGCTCTCTTGTCCTATCGGGGGACCCCAGTGTGGAGCCGGCATTTCTGCGGGCTGACCATAGAGCTAATCAAGGACCAGGACAGCTCCGATCATCTCTATGGTCTGAGAAATCAGAATGGCAAAATACTCACACAGATGTCAACAAAGCCATATTTGGCTTTGGAAAGCATCTGATGCTGTTAAGGGCAGAGGAGAGTCTATTAGACCCTGGATCTCTCAGTAAAGAGTACCTGTCACTGCCTATTTTTATCAAACGTTATGTTTACATTCCTTTTGATAACAATAGACGTGATTTAAAATAAAGGGACAGTGTAAAACAAAATAAATATATTAAAAAAAAAAAACTTTAAAGCTTCCCCACCCTCCCGTGCTCATGTGCAAAGGGAAATGCATTTGTCCCGCATTAGCAAGTAAACAGCGATCACACCACACGTGAGGTATCACCGCAAACCTCTGATCAAGAGAAATAATTCTATCACCAGGCCTTTGTGTAAATCTAAAGTGGTAGCCGGTAAAGGCTTTTAAAGTGTCGCCTATGGATAATAAACTATACGTAATTTGCCACCATTGCACGGCAGTGCGCAATTTTAAAGCATGACATCTTTGGTATATAATTACTTGATGTAACCTCATCTTCTATATTTTACCAAACAGTTGGGCACTATATTGTGTTTTTGTGCATTAAAATTCATTAACGTGTACTTAAAAAAAAATTGTGTTCCAAAAACTGCTCTGCAAATACAGTATGATATAAAAAGTTGCAACACCCACGATTATATTCTCAAGAGTCTCTGCTTTAAATTTTTTTTTTTTCTGGCGGGTGGGTTAAGTAATTATGTAGAAAAAAAATACAGATTTTTACATGCAAACAAAAAGGTTAAAGTGGTTATAAAGGCTCAAGGTTTTCCACCTTTTCTGTGCAGCAGCACCCCTAATACTCACCTAAGCCCCCACTCGGTCCAGGATGTGCACTGGAGTCTCGGCTATCCTAGGACTCCTTCTCTTCATTGGCTGAGACAGCAGCGGGAGCCATTGGATCACCGCTGCTGTCAATTACAGCCAGTGAGCCAATGAGTAGAGGGAGGGGGTGGGGCCGAGCCACAGCTCCATGTGTGAATAGACACACGGAGCACAGGCTTGGAACACACCTGCTTGGGTGCCCCTATAGCAAGCTGCTATAGGGGCACCCAAGCAGTATATATATATATATATATATATATATATATATATATATACAGCAGCACTATAGTTCACTTCATCACCAGCATGATTTGGTTTTTGAAGATCACAAATATATGTTAATTGGACATTATTTGAGAGTTTTTTATTTTGCCATATGTATGGTTAATCACAATCTTTTATATTGGTTCAGCATTTATTTATTAAGTACAGCACTAAACACAATTGGTATGTTTTTTCCCTTTGTTATAAGGGATCACGGTGTATGTATCTATCACAATATAGTCCTTGTTACAGGGACAAAAAAGGGGGGAGTTGTATTCACTGAGTGTTGCCACAGGTGTTTCCTGTGTGTTTCACATATTTTGCATTTTATTGGATCCAATTTGGGATCAGAGCACTTTGTGTTTTATTATCAATATATGTTGATTTGTCATTTATTATTATTTATTATAAGCACTTCACCATTTAAATAGTTATTGTTTTTCCACTTATTGGGTCAGGTTGGGTGATAGCGGCTTTAATTAGGTACATCCATCTAAGCGCAGGAGGATTTTTCTTATTAAGTATAGAAATTGTTTTTGTTTTTTTGTTTTTTTTATTTAATTTTTTTTTGTATCAGTTTAAAAATTAGGCCCGGTCTTAAAGTTAAGCCAGTTTGGTGGTCTTTTTAGAGAAAATGGATTTAAACTTTGATTTCCTGATCTGGCTAGAACAAGCAGTTAGAAACAAGATCAGACATTTCACAGGTACTGGCTTGAAAAAGATCAAGTACTTTTTTGAGCTACTGCAATGTTTACCTGTAATGTTAGATAAATTGGGTTGCTGTTGTGGAGTTGTTTTTGAAGGCTCAAGCTCAGGGGCTTTGATCTTCATCCTTCTTTTGCTACTTACTGATTTGCTGACCTGTACTAAGGACATGGATATCACATGTCCTATGGTCTGCACATTCAAAAACAAGTTAGTAATGGCAAGTTCCTTTTAAAGCAATTTCCATTGCTTTTAATATATTTTAAAAAAAAGATTTGTAGCATATCCATTTAGGGATTTCTCTTATTCATCACAATCACTCAGATTCCTGCTAAAGAACAAGATAAAATATCAGCGACACAAGGAATGTTCACTAGATAGGCCAACGTATAGACTTGAATGCGAGGAGCAGTGAAGTAAACATGTTGTACCACACAAAGCTAAAAGCAGAGCTGGTGTACGTTACAAGGAAATATGACTGCCACCATTTACATGTTACATAACAAATTAAATAGAAAAAAGGTTTTGTGCAAAACATGCATCTCATATCAAGCTGTTCATATTCAGATTATTATAAAATAAAACTGAAAAGACTATACATTGGCTTTAAACCAGAGTTACATTTTTTGAAGTATTAGAATTTGTATTATACGTTTAAAGACACCGAAGAACAGCGGCATGTACTCTCTGGTGGCAGAATTTGGCATGGCATATTTTTAGTAATTTGAGGCTGACATTATAAATTACAAATTTGAAAATGGCCGCTGGTTCAAAAAATGTCACTGGTCTGCAGCCTAAAGTGTATCTAAACCAAAAACAAAAATGTAATATTGCAATTCATTATGTGGAGCTGTGTTAGCTTTCCTTTTTTAGTCTTTTCCCCCCTTTATCTTTACCTGTTGATCCTGCCAATAACACACGTCCTGTTATAGGGTGACAACACTCACTATATTGTATCTATGGACGAGAAGCATTGTCACCTTAGATTAGGGAGTGTATTAGGACTTCCAAATGACTCTACTCATCTCCATACTAAATGTGGGGAGGTGTTTTGTAGTCCTCAAAGGGAACCAGGAGGGCTAATAATACTATTAAATGATAAGAAGGCAGCAAAGGGTAGAATATACAGGAAGTTATTAGCACTGAATTTCTAGCAGAATTAACAGTTATTTTTGAACTGATTGAACAGATACAACAAAATAACAAGATGCTTGAAATGGTACATTTAACAGACCAAAAAAGAGCGAATAGAGAGTTTTTTGTTTACATACACTGTGAATGGAACTTTTTTCCCCTCCAAAATGTGAGAAAACATTTTTGTGCCACACCTTAAAAATGTACTGAATAAATATATATATATATATATATATATATATATATATATATACACACAATATATTTCCAGAAGTATTGGGACGCCTGCCTTTACACACACATGAACTTTAATGGCATCCCAATGGCTTGAGGTGAGGACTTTGTTCAGGTCAGTCAAGTTTTTCTCTCATCCATGTCTTTATGGACCTTGCTTTGTGCACTGGTGCCCAGTCATGTTGGAACAGGAAGGGGCCATCCCCAAACTGTTCCCACAAAGTTGGGAGCATGAAATTGTCCAAAATGTCTTGGTATTCTGATGCCTTAAGAGTTCCCTTCACTGGAACTAAGGGGCCAAGCCCAACCCCTGAAAAACAACCCCACACCATAACCCCCCTCCACCAAACTTTACACTTGGCGCAATGTAGTCAGGCAAGTACCGTTCTCCTGGCAACTGACAAATCCAGACACGGCCATCGGATTGCCAGACATAGAAGCATGAATCGTCACTCCAGAGAACACATCTCCACTGCTCTAGAGTCCAGTGGTGGCGTGCTTTACACCACTGCATCTGATGCTTTTGTTCTGCTAATCTGAAGACCACATGAAGTTTGGAGGTCTTTGGAGACTCAGTTGCATTGAAATCGTGTGAATCCATTAAAAAAGTTCTTATTTTGGAGCTTTTGCTTTTTTGTCTATACATACATTTTCATTAGCCAATCTAAATCTTTAATTGTATTTTGTTAACAAATACTTGTCTCTCTTTTACTTTATACAGTTACTGTGCGGGCCCACTTAACTGGCTGGCTAATGACACTGAAGAAGACGTTTGTCCTGGCACCCAGCTCTATTTTAAGAATTATCGTTCTAATCTCTAGTCTTATTATCTTGCCTTACATGGGGTAGGTTTTCTTTTTAACACAACAGAATGGAAAATGTTGACCTTTTGTACTAAGTTTAATCTAATTGCTAGATACATGCATAGAATTTGTATTATGGGATTCCTATATAATTCAGTAACCTTTCACCAGTTACACAGCATGTTATAAAGTTAATGTTTAGTCTCGAAGGATTGAGGCCTCATGACGTATTCCATACGTTTTCGATTTATAGATTAATTAGCAGGATTACGATAACTCTTTCCCAGCTTCTGAAAATGTCTTTTTTTTCATAATATAATGTTGTATGTCTGCTGTGTATTTACATGCGTAAATTTTAAATTCAGCCAGAGTGTGATAAATGTGTGTATATATTGGGCTTGGGGAAAGAATAATGTAAATTGTGTATTCTATAGTTGTATATTCATACTGTAGCCATATGTTCAGAGTAGTTAATGAAAAAGCTGCATCATTCTGCAATCTATCTTTAGGTAAAAAAGGTACACACAACGCCACAATATAGTTTTGAAGGAGGCCACTGATACTCTATTATATGATTCTGTTATAATGTATATACAATACACAAACAGCTAGACAGTATTTGGAGCCATTACATGTTTTCTGCGCCGCACGATAAAATCACAAGTTCATATTTGCTCATTACATGGTATGCTTTATGTTTAGTAGTGTAGGAAAATGTTATTGCTCCACCCAGGGTGGAAATTAGCTTTCTTTAAAATCTAAATATATATATACAGTGGGGTAAAAAAGTATTTAGTCAGCCACCAATTGTACAAGTTCTCCCACTTAAAAAGATGAGAGAAGCCTGTAATTGGCATCATAGGTAGACCTCAACTATGAGAGACAAAATGAGAAACAAATCCAGACAATCACATTGGCTGATTTGGAAAGAATTTATTTGCAATTTATGGTGGAAAATAAGTATTTGGTCACCCTACAAACAAGCAAGATTTCTGGCTCTCACAGACCTGTACCTTCTTCTTTAAGAGGCTCCTCTGTCCTGCACTCATTACCTGTATCAATGGCACCTGTTTGAACTTGTTATCAGTATAAAAGACACCTGTCCCACAACCTCAAACAGTCACACTCCAAACTCCACTATGGTGAAGACTAAAGAGCTGTCGAAGGACACCAGAAACAAAATTGTAGACCTGCACCAGGCTGGAAGACTGAATCTGCAATAAGCAAGCAGCTTGGTGTGAACAAATCAACTGTGGGAGCAATAATTAGAAAATGAAAGACATACAAGACCACTGATAATCTCCCTCGATCTGGGGCTCCACGCAAGATCTCACCCTGTGGGGTCAAAATGATCACAAGAATGGTGAGCAAAAATCCCAGGACCACACGGGGGGACCTAGTGAATGACCTGCAGAGAGCTGGGACCAACGTAACAAAGGCTACCATCAGTAACACACTATGCCGCCAGGGACTCAGATCCTGCAGTGCCAGACATATCCCCCTGCTTAAGCCAGTACATGTCCGGGCCCGTCTGAAGTTTGCTAGAAAGCATTTGGATGATCCAGAAGAGGATTGGGAGAATGTCATATGGTCAGATGAAACCAAAATAGAACTGTTTGGTAGAAACACAACTCGTCGTGTTTGGAGGAGAGAGAATGCTGAGTTGCATCCAAAGAACACCATACCTACTGTGAAGCATGGGGGTGGCAACATCATGCTTTGGGGCTGTTTCTCCACAAAGGGACCAGGACGACTGATCCATGTACAGGACAGAATGAATGGGGCCATGTATCGTGAGATTTTGAGTGCAAACCTCCTTCCATCAGCAAAGGCATTGAAGATGAAACGTGGCTGGGTCTTCCAACATGACAATGATCCCAAACATACCGCCCGGGCAACCAAGGAGTGGCTTCGTAAGAAGCATTTCAAGGTCCTGGAGTGGCCTAGCCAGTCTCCAGATCTCAACCCCATAGAAAACCTTTGGAGGGAGTTGAAAGTCTGTGTTGCCCAGCGACAGCCCCAAAACATCACTGCTCTAGAGGAGATCTGCATGGAGGAATGGGCCAACATACCAGCAACAGTGTGTGCCAACCTTGTGAAGACTTACAGGAAACGTTTGACCTCTGTCATTGCCAACAAAGGATATATAACAAAGTATTGAGATGAACTTTTGATATTGACCAAATACTTATTTTCCACCATATTTACAAATAAATTCTTTCCAAATCAGCCAATGTGATTGTCTGGATTCTTTTTCTCATTTTGTCTCTCATAGGTGAGGTCTACTTATGATGCCAATTACAGGCCTCTCTCATCTTTTTAAGTGGGAGAACTTGCACAATTGGTGGCTGACTAAATACTTTTTTGCCCCACTGTGTATATATATATATATATATATATATATATATATATATATATATATAATACATAGTCAGGTCCATAAATATTGGGACATCGACACAATTCTAACATTTTTGGCTCTATACACCACCACAATGGATTTGAAATGAAACGAACAAGATATGCTTTAACTGCAGACTGTCAGCTTTAATTTGAGGGTATCTACATCCAAATCAGGTGAACGGTGAAGGAATTACAACAGTTTGCATATGTGCCTCCCACTTGTTAAGGGACCAAAAGTAATAGGACAGAATAATAATCATAAATCAAACTTTCACTTTTTAATACTTGGTTGCAAATCCTTTGCAGTCAATTACAGCCTGAAGTCTGGAACGCATAGACATCACCAGACGCTGGGTTTCATCCCTGGTGATGCTCTGCCAGGCCTCTACTGCAACTGTCTTCAGTTCCTGCTTGTTCTTGGGGCATTTTCCCTTCAGTTTTGTCTTCAACAAGTGAAATGCATGCTCAATCGGATTCAGGTCAGGTGATTGACTTGGCCATTGCAGAACATTCCACTTCTTTCCGTTAAAAAACTCTTTGGTTGCTTTTGCAGTCTGCTTTGGGTCATTGTCCATCTGCACTGTGAAGGGGCGTCCAATGAGTTGTGAAGCATTTGGCTGAATATGAGCAGATAATATATAATGAGCAGATAACACTTCAGAATTCATCCGGCTGCTTTTGTCAGCAGTCACATCATCAATAAATACAAGAGAAGCAGTTCCATTGGCAGCCATACATGCCCACGCCATGACACTACCACCACCATGCTTCACTGATGAGGTGGTATGCTTAGGATCATGAGCAGTTCCTTTCCTTCTCCATACTCTTCTCTTCCCATCACTCTGGTACAAGTTGATCTCAGTCTCATCTGTCCATAGGATGTTGTTCCAGAACTGTGAAGGCTTTTTTACATTTCGTTTGGCAAACTCTAATCTGGCCTTCCTGTTTTTGAGTCTCACCAATGGTTTCCATCTTGTGGTGAACCCTCTGTATTCACTCTGGTGAACTCTTGATTGATTGTTGACTTTGACACACATACACCTACCTCCTGGAGAGTGTTCTTGATCTGGCCAACTGTTGTGAAGGGTGTTTTCTTCACCAGGGAAAGAATTCTTCGCTCATCCACCACAGTTGTTTTCCATGGTCTTCCGGGTCTTTTGGTGTTGCTGAGCTCACCGGTGCGTTCCTTCTTTTTAAGAATGTTCCAAACAGTTGTTTTGGCCACGCCTAAAGTTTTTGCTATCTCTCTGATGGGTTTATTTTGTTTTTTCAGCCTAATGATGGCTTGCTTCACTGATAGTGTGACAGCTCTTTGGATCTCATCTTGAGAGTTGACAGCAACAGATTCCAAATGCAAATAGCACACTTGAAATGAACTCTGGACCTTTTATCTGCTCATTGGAATTGGGATAATGAGGGAATAACACACACCTGGCCATGGAACAGCTGAGAAGCCAATTGTCCCATTACTTTTGGTCCCTTAACAAGTGGGAGGCACATATGCAAACTGTTGTAATTCCTACACCGTTCACCTGATTTGGATGTAAATACCCTCAAATTAAAGCTGACAGTCTGCAGTTAAAGCACATCTTGTTTGTTTCATTTCAAATCCATTGTGGTGGTGTATAGAGCCAAAAATGTTAGAATTGTGTCCATGTCCCAATATTTATGGACCTGACTGTATATACACACTCTATTGCCAAAAGTATTGGGACGTTGCCTTTACACGCACATGAATTTTAATGGCATCCCAGTCTTAGTCCGTAGGATTCAATTTAGAGTTGGCCCACCCTTTGCAGCTAGAACAGCTTGTACTCTTCTTGGAAGGCTGTCCACAAGGTTTAGGAGTGTCTATGGAAATGTTTGATCAACTTCCAGAAGCGCATTTGTGAGGTCAGGCACTAATGTTGGACAAGAAGGCCTGGCTCGCAGTCTCTGTTCTAATTCATCCCAAAGGTGTTCTGTTGACTTGAGGTGAGGACTCTGTGTAGGCCAGTCAAGTTCCTCCACCCCAAACTGGGTCATCCATGTCTTTATGGACCTTGCTTTCTGCACTGGTACGCAGTCATGTTGGAACAGGAAGGGGCCATCCCCAAACTGTTCCCACAGAGTTGGGAGCATGAAATTGTCCAAAATGTCTTGGTATGCTGATGCTTTAAGAGTTCCCTTCACTGGAACTAAGGGGCCAAGCCCAACTCCTGAAAAACAACCCCACACCATAATCCCCCCTCCACCAAACTTTACGCTTGGCACAATGCTGTCAGGCAAGTACTGTTCTCCTGGTAACCGCCAAACCCGGACAAGTCCATCGAATTGCCAGACAGAGAAGGTTGACTTGTCACGTCAGAGAACATGTCTACACTGCTCTAGAGTCCAGTGGCGGGGTGCTTTACACCACTGTATCCAATGATTTGCATTGCTCTTGGCGATGTAAGGCTTGGATGCAGCTGCTCAGCCATGGAAACCTATTCCATGAAGCTCTCTATGCACTGTTGTGCTAATCTGAAGACCACATGAAGTTTGGAGGTCTTTAGCAACTGACTGTACAGACAGTTGGCAACTTCTGCGCACTGTGCACTTCAGCATGCACTGACCCCGATGTGTCATTTTCTGTAGCCTACCACTTCTTGGCTGAATTGCTGTTGTTCCCAGTTGCTTCCACTTTGTTATAATACCACTAGCAGTTGACCGTGGAATATGAACAGATTTGGGGGAGAGATGTCATCCTGCAATAGATAGAGGTCAGTTTTCCAGCCATATCCACCATGCACATTCCAGGCGTGGAAAACTGGCAGGCTGTCTTCTGAGTCTACAGGAATGCTCCCTACACCCAGAGGTGTTCAAGGACAGTTCATTGCTGGGAGACCCCAGAAGGGGTTCTTCTGGCATTCACATTAAAAAAAAAAACAGTTTTGCATCCAGAACAAGAGACCCTCCAGCGTTGACAGTAGATGCCCTGCTGACTCTCTGGGATCAATTCTAACTGATCTATGTGTTGTCCCCATTTAGTTTCTACCATGCCTTTGTAGAATTGACATGACTACAGTGATTTTGGTGGCTCCAAACTGGCTAAGATGGACTTGGTTCTCAGACATTCTGAGCATGCTAGCAAAACCTTCTTGGCCTTTACTGGACCGACCAAACATTCTGTCATGAGATCTACCACCCTGCTTCTCAGTCGCTGGCTTTAATGACATTGCTGTTGAGGCCCAGGTCATAAGGGAGAGGATTGTCTCTGAATCGATTATTTCCATGCTTCTTAAGGCAAGTAGGACTGCTTCTCCTAAGGTATGTCACCGTACTTGGAAGGTATATTTCCATTGGTGTGAGCAGAGGAACCTTAACCCTCACTGTTATTCTATGGGTCATTTACTTGCCTTCCTACAGGCAGGGATGGATTAGATTTTTGCCTTGAGTACTCTGAAATGTCAGGTCTCAGCCTAGGCCATTTTATTCCAGAGGCCCCAGCCTCTAACTCTTTGATGATGACTTTCGTTCAAGGTGTCGCTCATATCGCTCCAGCCCGTCAGAGACCATTGACCTTTAGTACTTTTGGTCCTCAAAAAGCTGCCATTTGACCCTACTCACCATTGGAAAATTGAACAAATGTTGCAAACACAAAATAAAATTGTACAAAACTCTACTAGTGTATGGTCAGCTTAAAGGAAACAGATTTCTAGAAATGTTTTATAAAGGTTAGTACTCAAGCAGTTAAGGAGAAATTTAAATTAAACTTTTAAATACATAGTTAAAATCCTGTTTCTACCAAAAAAATGTATAATTTTGTTCAGCTGCTTTTGTGATTCACCCATTTCTGCCACAAATTATTGGTTTAGCTTTGCTCCAGTTTGCTTATTGGGCAATGAATCAGCATCATCAGCTTTGTCCAATAAGCAGTGAGGTGATTTAGGAAGTAGTAAAGCTAAACTAATAACTAAGTGATCATTCTTATTGTGTAGTGAGGGGCAGAAGTGTGTGATTTCGCAAGACTGGCTGAACAGAACTGCAAAGCCTTTGGCAGTAGATATACAGTGCCTTGAAAACATATTCATACCACTTGAAATTTTCCACATTTCGTCATGTTACAACCAAAATTGTAAATGTATTTTATTGATTTTATATGATAGATCAACACAAAGTGGCACATAATAGTGAAGTGGAAGGAAAATGATAAATGGTTTTCAAAATGTTTTACAAATAAATATCTGAAAAGTGTGGCATGCATTTGTGTTCAGCCTGCTGTCCTGCTGTAAGGTGAACCTCTGTCCCAGACTTAAGCTTTATGCAGACTCATAACAGGTTTTCTTTCAAAATTGCCCTGTATTTGGTTCCATCCATCTTCCCAGCAACTCTGACCAGCTTCCCTGTCCCTGCTGAAAAAATGCATTCTCACAACATGATGCTGCCACCACCATGTTTCACGGTGGGGATGGTGTGTTCAGGGTGGTGTGCATTGTTAGTTTTTTGCCAATTTTGGTCTCATCTGACCAGAGCACCTTCTTCCACGTTTGCTGTGTCCCCCACATTGCTTATCGCAAACTGTAAACGGGACTTCTTATGGCTTTCTTTCAACAATGGCTTTCTTCTTGCCACTCTTCCATAAAGGCCAGATTTGTGGCATGCAAGACTAATAGTTGTCCTGTGACCAGATTCTCCCACCTTAGCTGTAGCTTTCTCCTTCTCCTCCAGAGTTACCATGGGCCTCTTGGCTGCTTCTCTGATTAATGCTCTCCTTGCCCTGCCTGTCAATTTAGGTGGACGGCCATGTCTTGGTAGGTTTGCAGTTGTACTCTTTTCATGTTCGGATGATGGATTGTACAGTGCTCCATGAGATATTTAAAGCTTGCAATATTTTTTTATAAACCTAATCCTGCTTTAAACTTCTCCACACCTTTATCCCTGACCTGCCTGGTGTGTTCATTGGCCTTCATGATACTGTTTGTTCATTAATGTTCTTTAACAAACCTCTGAGGGCTTCACAGAACACCTGTATTTACACAGAGATTAAATTACACACAGGTGGACTTTGTTTACTAATTAGGTGACTTCTGAAGGCAATTGGTTCTACTAGATTTTAGTTAGGGGTATCAGAGTAAAAGGGGGTTGAATACAAATGCACCCCACACTTTTCAGATATTTATTTAGAAAAAAAAATGTAAAACCATTTATCATTTTCCTTTCACTTCACTATTATGTGCCACTTTGTGTTGGTCTATTATACTGATTACAAAAGGATCCAAGTGAAACATATTCATTCATTTAAATTTTATCCATTAGTTTTTAAACCTTTTTTTTTGGCCGAATATTTGTAAAATATACACTTATCATACTGAAAAGTTTGGAGACCTCTGCTTCAGTATGTAAAATCTTCTGATCTTTTTTTTTTTTTTACATTAGCTGTTAAGCAAAAAAATACCCATGCCAAAAAGTAGACACTTGCCAGTAGATGAGGGTTCATTTCTCTGTGAATTTCCACACTGCATTTAGTTCAAAATGAACTCTTTCAATGTAAACTTTGTGGTCACCAAACAATGACTATTGTTCAGGAAACACTGAAGCTTGTTTGATAGAGAACACAGTGAATAGAACACTTGCTTATTTGAACTGAAATGTTCAGTAGAACATGAGACCTTGTGTAATGTGCACTTTTGTGTTTGAGGAGTGATGTCCTCCTTGTTAATGAACTTTGAAAACTGGAAGTGTAGTAAAAGCTGAAATGTGTCAGGTATTGCACTTTGCAGTTCGGCCATCCCTGTGAGAGATCATGTGCAGTATGTGTGTATATTCGTTCATGTATGTTTAACTGTACATTTATGTAGTATGTAAAAATTACTTTGTGGGGACTCATTCACACCGGCTGCCACATTATACCATGGCCCCTGGCATATACTATGAAGGGAGTAATGCAGATGCGATTTAATGATGCACTGCACTGTTTACTTTTGTACAACTTTATTGCAGTGTCACAAAATTACATTTAATTTGTCTTTATGTAATGCAGCACATTATAATGTGGTACATTGATTTACAACATGCTGTCCTAAAATAAAAAGTAGAACACGTCATCCATTGCCTTTTTTAGCACTGGGCAAATTTACCTGGTGCAGCCCAACACACAAGATGTGAATTGGCCCTAAGTTTAGGTAAATGTATATGAAGAGGTTTGTAGGCCAGAGTAAGTGTGTGTAATTGTATGTATAATTGTGACTATGTACTGTATATGCATGGTTCTGTGACTGCATGTAGGCCGTCCTGTTTTACAATTTTCCTTGAAATACTTTACTGTTAAGTCAAAATAGAAATACCCACATCAAGTTCTTCTCTAATCACTGACTGTATCAACAATGGGACATAGTTGAGCATTAACTGATTTGAGATCAAACATACATACATTGGAGTTACCCCAAAACTCCCTATAGTGCGTGCCATATAAAAAATCCAGATAAAATAAACCAAAGCATCAAACATGTATTTTCTCTTATGATGTGAATCAAGCTGAGCTTTTCCTTGTTACATAGTTAGGGCTCGTTCACACTAGGCTGTTTTGCCAACGCTTGCCAAACGCCCCTATAGCGTTTGGCAAGCGTTGGTCCGGCGTTTGCGGAGCGTTTTTTAACGCTCGGCAAACGCTCCGCAAACGCCGCATGCGCGGTTTAGCGGCGGTTGCTAGGCGTTTGCCGAGCGTTAATAATGCCCCACAAACGCCTATAATGCAGTTTGAGTGGTGTTACCGCTCTGCAAACGCCCCGCAACCGCACCGCAAACTCCGGCCGGGCGTTTGCGGAGCGGCACCATAGACGAGAATAGGAGGCTTCAAAGCCTCCTGACTCGTCCAGAGGCGTCCGTTTTGCCGCGACGCAAACGCTCCCGTTAGAACAGCACCATGTGCTGTAATGTGCAGAATTGGCAGAGGCGTTTGGGAAGCGGTAAAAACGCTTCCCAAACGCCTCTCTGCCGCCTGCACACAAGGCTAGTGTGAACGTAGCCTTACATAGTTAGTCTGGCTGAAAAAAGACAAAAGTCCATCCAGTTCAGCCGTAGAAAAAAAAAAAAAAGTTATAATCCTATACCCACAGTTGATCCAGAGGAAGGCAAAAAAAACCCAGCAAAACACAATCCAAAAAATTCCTTCCTGATCCCGAGAGGCAATTGGATATTCCCTGGATCAACTTTACCTATAAATGTTAGTATCCATTTATATTGTGTGTATCTAAGAAACAATATTGACATTAACTTCAATAATATTTTACACAAAGGCTGAAATCATTCTTTAATTAAAATAACATTTGCATAATCTGTAATACCCAGATATACAGAAACCTTACCATTTCCGTATGTATTTTACTAGATAATAAGACTTGTTATTATTGTTCATTGTTTATTGGTGACCTGTTAGTGGCACACAGTGGAGGTATATTCTTGTGTGTTTATGTGATTTGTGTTTATTTCTTGTACACAGGGTTCATGGAGCCACATTAGGTGTAGGATCCCTCCTCGCTGGCTTTGTAGGAGAGTCCACCATGGTTGCTATTGCGTCTATTTACGTATATCGAAAACAGGTAAAAGAAACCCGCACTGTAGACCATCTCAGATCATTTCTTAGGCTTACTGTGTGATATTATTAATTAACAATAAAGTGAACCTGATCTGCCCTAATTTATTTCTAAGGTAACAAAGATTGCTGAAGTGAAATCATCCTGGAGTACTTTCAAATACCTGTAGTATTCATGTAGACAATCCCTCTGTTCCTGTAAAACAATTTTGGATCTGATGTGCACGATGTGCATGGGATCCTGACTTCAGCAGCAGATTTAAATACACTAATGAATTGAAACCAAACTCCAGCTAACACCTTGTAAGCATTAGCTCCTGCTGATGTCAATCAAATCCTGTGAGGAGGGAGCAGGGGGTGGAGCTGAGCTGCATGGTGTGTGTCAATAGATACACACAGCCCGGCTCGGGATCATGCCCACATGTCTGCTCCCACAGCAAGCGCTTGCTGTGGGGGCAGATACAGAAGAGGAGGAGTGGACAGTGCTGTTGGGGGACCCCAGAAGAGGAGGTTCAAGGCCACTCTGTTGCAGAGCATGTAAGTATAAAATGTTTGTTATTTTGATTTTTTAAAAAAACGTTGACTTTAGAATCATTTTAAACAGTATTTGCTAATTGTTTCACCTGTTTTTCTTAATAGTTGTCTTCCACATTGTTAACTGAGGTTCATCATTCTTAGCAGTTTCCCCTAATGGCATTGCCTGGCCTCAGGGGCGGACTGACAACTCATGGGGCCAACAGGCAATAGGGGATCATAGGGCCCCTGTGTCCTAGCCCAAACTCTAAAAAGCCTATGAAAAAAGTACCAGGGGCATCCCATGGGGCCCCCTGCTGCCCCGGGCCCTCCGGCAGTGCCCGAGTTTCCAAATGGTCAGTCCACCCCTGCCTGGCCTACTCTGGCACACCAGGTTGTTCCTCAGTGACCTGTCCTTGGCTTTGGCAATATCCATGTTGGTTTTCTACTTCTAATATTCTTGTAGTAAGATCTCCACTTTGTTAAATGTCACTGGTGCCCACTTCTTAGACTGCTTTTAGATGTTCCTTTTGTCTCTTTAGTTCTGCATCCCCATGCCCCTCAGTGCATGATAAAGAAAACAAGAGTTTTCTACTTACAGTAAAATCTTTTCCTTGAAGTCCATTGACAGATCTCCTATGTTATTGGTTGTATGTACTGCTTGCTCACAAAACTGAGAAATGAGGTGTGGAGGCGGGGTTATATAGGGGCTGGCTTAATGGATTTTGTTTGCCAGGGTCCCAACCTCCTGTATAACCTATCCTGGTTTCACAGGAGACACTGAGAGCAGCGGGAGCTATGAGCTGCCTCTGCTGTCAACCAGATCCTGTGATGAGGAAGCTGGGAGCATGGCCAAGCTGTCTATGGACACACACAGCCTAGCTAGGGAGTGCACATGCATGGGATCCCCCGTAGCTGCCAACTTGCTGCCAAGAAGGAAGAACAGAGAATGCTGGCAGGGGACTTCCAAAACGGGGGTAAGGGACCGCTCTTTTGCAATATATTGTTACTGATTTTGTAGCAAACACATCCATTAAAAAATCTGGATAAGGATCATCTACTTACAAAACTAGGAAAGATTAGAGAACTACTTTCAGATCTTTGTTCATATATTGCTGCTATAGTTACTTGTCTCACAATTTCCTTTCAGTCACCATACTTGTTTTCAAGGTGTAATTACTTATCTGATAAACTACTCTGTCATTTAGGAAATGTGAGCTTGCTAATTTAAGTCAATGGTAAAAAGATATCTTTTGTTGAGATAAAACTATTGTAAAAAGTTCAAAAAGATGTTCAACTAAGGCTGCAATCACGCTGGGCGTTTTAATAACACTGGTAACGTTAGCTGTCTAAAGTGATGTTAAAAACTTGCGTTTTTCAGAGTTTTGGTATTAGCGTTTAGTGGCGTTTTGCTGCATTTTTTCGCATTTGCATTTTTTAGCGTTTTTTTAATCCAAAAATTTTTTTTTGGTCAAAAACAGTCCAGAATCGCTGTTTTGCCGCAATTTACCGCATTTTACTGTGTTTTTCAGTGTTAGAGCGTTTTTACAGCTAAAACACTCCTCTAGAAACCCACTAGTCCTGGGGTTATTTCCAGCCGAAAAAACGCCCCTGCCAAAAAACGTTGATTACAGTCTGTGTGTGCATGGACACATAGGATAACATGCTGGGGGGTTTACTGGCTGTAGAAACAAATGTCAAAAGCCAAAAACAGCCGCTGTAAAAACGTCCAGTGTGCATGAGGACTTCTCCTAACTGAAATGCCTAATTTCTGATGTCGCCTATCACCCTTTACTTTAAAATGATAGTACTGCAGGTACTTCATATAATTATCTTTGATTCATTTATTATATGGATACATGTAATAAAAAAAATCCCTTAACACTCTTCCTATCTTCTAATTACTTTTTGCCCCCTTGAGAAAAAGTGTTACGTTTACGTCATCTGGCATACATACTTTTTATATTATATTTGTTTTACTCTTCTCAACTCCTAACCTCTTTTCGAATTTCTCTTTTACGAAAAGTCCCTAGGACTAAACCTTACCATTTCTCAAAATGGGTCCAGTGATACAAAATCTATCCTCTTAAGATCAATCACCTCAGCCTTATATATTATATCTCAACGTTTTCTATAACCCCAATTCCAAAAAATTTGGGACAATTTGTAAAATCAACAGAATGTAATGATTTGCAAATCTCATAAACATATATTTTATTCATAATAGAAATCAGAAAACATGTCAAATGTATAAATGAAAAAATGTACTATTTTCTGAAAAAAAAATAAGGTAATTTTTAAATTAATGGTAACAACATGTCTCAAAAAAGTTGGGACAGGGCAACGAAAAGCTGGCAAAGTAAGTGTTACTAACAAGGAAGAGCTGGAAGAATATTTTACAACTAAGTAGGTTGATTGGCAACAGGTCAGTAACATGATTGGGTATAAAAAGAGCATCTTAGAGAGTCAGAGTGTCTCGGAAGTAAAGATGGTTAGGGGTTCACCAACCTGGGAGAAGCTGTATCTAAAATTGATCAGTTACAGTATAATGTTCCTCAATTTAAGATTGCAGACTTTAAATTTATCATCTACAGTACATCATCAAAAGATTTAGAGAATCTGGAGAAATTTCTGTGCACAGGGGACAAGTGCGAAATGAAATAAAGGATGCCCATGATCTTTGAGCCCTCAGGTGGCACTGCATTAAAAACAGGAATGATTCTGTGATGGACATCATTGCATGGGCTCAGGAATACTCCAAAAATGACTGTTTATGAACACAGTTTGCCGTGCCATCCAAAACTGCAAGGTAAAGCTGTAGGCATCTTCTCTAGGCAAAGCTCATTTAAAATGGTCCGTTACAAAGTGGAAAACTGTTCTGTAGTCAGATGGATCAAAGTTTGACATTCTTTTTGGAAGCCATGGGACCTTCCAGCTTGTTGTCAGGGCTCAGTTCAAAAGCCTGCATCTCTGATAGTATGGGGGTGTATTATTGTATATGCAATGGGCAGCTTACACATCTGGAAAGGTATCATCAATGCTGAAAGATATAGCCAGGTTTTAGAGCAGTATATGCTCAGGCAAAAATGGGACAACATTCCCTACAAAAACTCCAATAACCGGTCTCCTCAGTTCCCAGATATTTACAGAGTGTAGTTAAAAGAAGAGGGGGTGCTACACCATGTCCCAACTTTTTTGGCATTGGGGTTGTACTTTGCCAGCTTTTTGTTGCCCTGTCCCAACTTTTTTGAGACGTGTTGCTGTCATCAATTTCAATATGACATTATCTTTTTCTTAAAATGATACATTCTCAGTTTAAACATACAATTTGTTTTCTATTGTGAATAAAATATGGGTTTATAACATTGCATTCTGTTTTTATGTAGATTTTACACAGCATTCCAACTTTTTGGGGAATTGGGGTTGTATTAACATGAGACAGTCATATGTTGTGTTTGGTTGAATCGTATACAGATAAAAAATGATAATTTCTGTGATAACAGAAAATCATACTGTGGTAATAATTGTGACATTGGAAGCCCTTTCTGATTAACTTATATGTCTTGGTAAATGAAGATTGTTAAATCATTTAGTATGAACAAATATAATGTGCAGCTGCACTCATTTTCCACAGAGCTTAGTGAATGTGGTGAAGCTCTGCTGATTCCCATCATCCAATCATGTGTAAGCAAAAATGCTGTTTTTTATTTCACTTGCATCTGATTGGGTATTCTTTACAGAGAGAAGCTTACATAGTTAGTCTGGCTGGAAAAAGACAAAAGTGCATCCTGTTCAACCATTAAAAAAAAAAAAAGTTATAATCCTGTACCCAGATAAGGTTCAAAGCTTCACACAAAGCTTCATTATCCTCTGTGGAAAATGAGTGCAGCTGCACCTCCTAAGTCGGTTTACCTTTAGTAAATCAACCCCATAATTTTCTCCTGAGGTTCATATGGCCCGGCCAAAGTGATATTGGGCACAAGTGACAACTGCAATAAGATTTGGATGAATATAGGAGCCCCTCTTTATTTTTGAGACTGCATGATGCATATTTACAATATAAACAATGAATGTGACTGTTACCAGAGATTCACTGGTGGTCAGGGACGGACTGACCATTTGGAAACTCGGACACTGCCTGTGGGCCCGGGTCAGTAGGGGGCCCCGTGAAATGCCCCTGGTACCTTTTTCATAGGCTTTTTTGAGTTTGGGCAAGGACACAGGGGCCCAATGATCCCTTATTGTCCGGGGGCCCCAAGAGTTGTCAGTCCGCCCCTGCTGGTGGTGCTTTGTTTTAATGCAAATATGTGACCACATGACCTCAAACCCTTTGGCTCATCCCCCCCCTTTCTCTGTGGCTGGTAGACATATTGATACATAGCTAGTCTGGTTGAAATAGAGCACGAGACCATCCAGTTCTACCAATATATGTATGACCAAACCAATATATGTGTGTCGGAGGAAGATCTGCCTTGCAATGTCACAATCTAAATCTGACAGACAGAGGCATATCGGGGGGCCAGTAATGGAGAAATTTCAGTGCCAGTCAGAAAGTGTAGTCAGTCATCCACCAGAAATACAGTAGACAAGAGGTCACTGGCAGGATCAACAGGTAAAAAGAATGAAATAGAAATGGAGCTGAGCTATATGGATTGTGTTTATTTTACAGTACTGTATGTACTATGCACAAACTCATTTGAGATGTTTCCTGGAGATACACTAAGTTTCACACACACCAGCCACTCTATAGGGAACTGATGTAGTGTTTATATCAGCTTGGCTGATTTCCATGCACATCTCTACACCCTGTGCTCGTATGAGTGTTCCTCCAGGGAGAGGAAGACAGGAAGCAGGATCTCTGTCAAGCCGGCCTGTTTTATCCTTGAAGCCTTAAAGTATAAAAGATAAAAAAAAAAATATTCATGCAGCTGCAATCCTTTATATCTTACAATCATTTGAGTTGCTGAATAGGAGATGACTTTATATTGTGTGCCCTATAACCAGTTGCTATTGTATGACATTGGACCAATTACATGTGTTTTGCTTAAGGGTATCCTAACTTAAAAACAAAAAATATATTATATTGCAACTTCCCAGTCCTTAGATGTGGTGGCTGGCTGTATTAAAGTGTTACTAAACCCACAACAGTCAAATCAGTCTGTATATGCAGCAAAGCACGCTTGTTATACTTATTGTGGAACCTAAGGGGTTAATCCTCCACACTGTGTAAAAAGGCTGTTTGATCCTGTTTTCTCTGATCCTATCCTTCTTTTACTGTCCCCAATCCATCTGCTGATAGTACAGAGCTCTAGGAGTCACTCTTCACATGCCCAGTTTAGTGTGTATGGCTAGAGAGGGTTTTTTTTTCTTTGGGACGGTGCATTTGATCAGCACAGGGCCAATTAGCACTGTCCAGAGGGTCAGGGGTCATGCAGCCTCATAGGACAGTCAGAGGAGATTGAAAATTCCTCTTGCAAGCTTTAACTAGTGCCCAGCTGGACACTGATAGAAGTCACAAGACTGCTATATACTGCTGATGAGAAAAGGTATTTAGCAGTTTATATGTGCTAAAATAATTGCATTTGCATGTTCTGTGTACTGTGGGAGACCCGCTATAGTGAATGCAGGGTCCTGGGTTTAGTAACACTTTAATCCTGTTTTTGTTTTTTGGTTCAACCCAATGGACTGGATGAAAAAAAAAAAAACAACAGAGTAGCTAGCTGTACTAACTATGCTAGCTTTCACTACTAAAGTACCCCATCACTTCATAAAATAGCTTATGCAGCATTTTAGTAGTGTTTTTAGTGAATTGCAAAAATATTTTTGAAAAAAGCAAAGAGGTATTTTACCGGGGATCTTAACCCCTTCACACCTAAGGGTAAAACAAATCTAAATGCCTAAGCACAATTCTGCAACGTTGACATGTGTAAGTAAAACCGTGCATATCATCACAACTACTTTGTACATCCAGGCGGATTATGCCTTGTTTTTTTCAGGACAAATTGGGCTTTCATTTGGTGGTAAATGGTAATGGATAGCTCCTAATTTATTTTTATTATCAAAGGAAAACTGGCCCAAAATAGTAAAAAAAAAAAATTGTTTTTTTTAATTTAGCTCTGTGTTTCTTTTTACGACCATAACCTAGCTCCATAGAACAACCCAAAATAAATTCTCCAGCTCCTGACGATCGCAGCGATACCATATATGTGTGTTATTTGATGTTTGTACCCGTAGTACAGCCCAGAAACAATAGTGCGCATTTTGTTTTGTCTTTTTTTTTTTTTACCTAAAACACACTGACATTAACGCAAACGGTCACTGATACCAATTTTTTTAAAACCCTGACCTTTGACCCTACCCTACTAACCCTGGCACTGAACTAGATCCAACCTTGATCTAGGTATTTTTCTTTTTCTTTTTTTTTTTTTTAATCTCTCTATGCCAGGAGATAGATAGATAAAATGTATCTCTCTTCTCCATTCATAGAGAGAGAAAAAAAACAAGGGGGCTGGGCTGCACAGGGACTGATCACTGTGATAGCCAATCAGAGGCTATCACAGCGATCATGTGACCTGGAATGGGGAGTCCCAGGTCCCGATCCTTAGAACGGGACCCGGGGCTCTCAGTGGCACCGCGGTCTCTGTGCTGGGAGCGCGCCGAGAGGCGCGCTCCCAGCACAAAGACAGGTACACAAATTTGCGGCCCCACAGAAAAAAGCCCAGTTCCGTGAGGTCGCATATTGGTGTGACATTGGTGTCATACCGCTTTGGCGGTCATACACCGCATTGGCGTCATACCGCTTTGTAAATGGAGTCCATTATTCATTTTTTTTTTTATCAGATTGATATGTGTTCCACTTTCACAATTAGTGAGCATCAGTGCATACAACTTTTTTGGTATTTGGTTAACATACAATACTTTTGCAGTACAATGAATACATTTGTTACAAACCTGTATGCAGACGTGACGATGAGTAGCTAAATAGATAATCGGCATTACTTTGTTTACGTTGTATATGGTTCTGTAGAATGGGAACATAGCTTCTCCAGTCATAAAAAAAAACCCACTTTTTTTCTATTTGTCATCCTAGAAAAAGAAGAGCGATACAGAGACTGCAGTGGAAGGAGAAGATTCGGCAATGACTGATATGCCACAGTGTGAGGAATTAACAGACATTGTTGAGATGAGGGAGGAAGAAGAATGAACAGGATATTGGGACATTTTGTGCAACAGAAGACAAAGCCCCTCCCTGTTAATGGTCTTTAGTCAAATTATATTTTATTTGTATGAAAACTTGGATTCAGAAGGCTCCAGCTTTAGCATACTAAGTATGCTTATTAGAGAGAGAGCCTAACAGAGGCTCCGTGCTTTACAGAAATCACACCTTTATCTTCACAATCCATGGATATTTTTTTTATCAACTTACATATGGAAAGACTTTGGATGCTTACTACATGGAACTGTTGGATTATTTCCATCTGTCAACCAAATCATCATCGTCTGCCTCTGCTGTTAACAATGTTAACAAAGCTGCCGTCCTTCCCTCGTTTAATCTTTCCTTGTGTTGAATACCAGAAATTAATTTCAGCGTTTCTCATGTGTTCACTCATGATATGGTTACATATTATGAAGCAGTGGAAAAGGGATTTACATTGGGCTATGGTGTAAACATACTCAGAGCTTTTATATCATATGGACATAAGAAACAAGTTACCCAAGTTTTCTTTATATAAGAATGCAGCTGTTGTATTGAGATGTAGGGGAATGGCTACATGTCAGTTGTACTGTGCTTCTATGTGATCATACTTGCCCTTTGATAATTCCCTGTATCTGTGACTGTGGTCTGCTAGAACTTGTTATATAGTAGCCAATCAATACAATACTAAAGCCTGACTGCAGCATTTAGTAATTGGTTGTGTGCCTGCTAGCATACAGCAGCTGCAATTTGGGGCCAAGATCACAGAGTGACGCGAGATATTTTAGCACACAGTAGCACAATCAAAAGATGACATATGTAGCTGTGACCCAAGTGTGTCAGTTTTTTATTTACCCACAAGATTTTTTTACTTGACTTGTATTACCAATTAGATTAATAGACGGTTTATCTAAAATTGAGTAGGTCTAGAATATATTATTCACACAAATTTCAGAACCAGCAAAACTCCCTTTTTACAACCAGAAATCAGATTTATTTTTCATTTTCTCAATATTCAGCTTTTTCCATTAATTCAGAAATAAATAATTGGAAATGTATGTTTTAAAACAAAGTTTTAACTAGTAAGTATCACACATATTCTTTAAGAGCTACGTGTTTATTATTTTTTTTTTCAAAACATGTCCATATTTTAAGAGTTTTATGAGCGCTGAAACATGGTACACAACAAAAACCATGACATGACATGCATGAAACATGCTCTATTCATTCCATTGGGGCAGTAGGCTAGATAAGAACCAAATCACTTCTCTGAAGGCTACACACAACATTGAAATCCTTTTTATTTTCTACAGCTACAACAAAAAAATCCTTGAAAATGCACAAAAAAAGCTGCAAAAAAACACTACTAGAACTTATGCACAAACACATTTGACTGTCACTGCCCTATACAAAGAGCTGAATTGATTATACAGCCAAAAACTGTCTACTTTGTTGCATAGGGTTTTTGAGATATTTAAAATAGAGGCTTATATCTACTTTGTTTTCTAAGTCCAGTCAAAGTTTTTTTGCACACTATATCATACTATTTATTTAGTGCCGTAAGTTATTTTTGGGGTCAGTAATGCTGTCCTGCATGTTTGTTTGTTATGTATTTGCATACACATTTTATTAGCCTTTATTAGAGAAGGCAGTAGAGCCGCATGTTACGTGCTGTGACACCGACGACCAATTAGTAAAATCTATCAATGCTCTACCATGTCAATAAAAGAGTAAGCACGTTTGATTGGTTGTTATGGGTTTTCACACATTCTTGCTCTTTGCGCAGCCTTTTTGCATTAGCCTGGATTCAGTTCATGTGTTAGCACTTTAGGAGAGAAGAAATAATATTAAAATGACAAGTGAAGTTGTATATATTTCTGAAGACACTGCAATACATTTTTTACTATGAATCTCTCGGCAAAAGAGTGTGGTAAAAATATGCTTAATTTACAGCACATATCATGTGTATCCTAGCTACACTAACTCCAGGTTGATGCTACATTATTCTTTCAACTGGAGCCCCAACATCCTCCCTGGCTGTATAGAACTGAATATCTTTCTGGACAGTGAAGATGAAATGGAGTATTTTTTTTTAATAATATTTTTTTTTTCTCTGGGTACTTGACTAGAAATATAATCAACATTATTTTTGAATATTTGTGAATATATTTAAACTGTGTGTGGGAAAATGGCTGGACAGTTCTACTTTTAAAACTTTAATATAAAGTTATATAATGTATTTGGATGTACTGCACAACACAGTTACTGAATGGAAGTTGAGCATACAACTGCAAGAGTGAGATGCATTTTGTGTAGAGATTAAAGGGAATACAATAAAATATTTAAACTGAAAAGATATATATACTTTGTCTTGCCTACAATATTACAATGTAAAACTATTATCTTACATTACCATAGTCATGTATGCATAGTTGTTTTGGAAAAATTTTCTATTAATAAACTAAATGAACTTTTTACACAGGAATGATGGATATGATGAACTTCACTTGCTCAAATACAAGAAGCTCTATACACAACAAAATCCCCCCCCCCCCCCCCCCGCATTGTATGGGAATTTTTAGGCAAACTGAAAACAATATTAAAATTTACAAAAATATTCTTTATTATAATTATATCTTAAAAATTGTGAGACATTATAAATTACAATGTTATCCATACAGTATCGTTACACAGATTTATGTCAAACATTACAGAAGAGTTTGATATATCTGCAGAGACTCTAAATGAGTAATTGACGCGTTTCAGAGACAGTAGCTCCCTCTTCAGGGTTGACTCTGCATACAGTATGATCTGTAGCAGGGTTAAAAAACATACACTGTGTGAAGTATATGTCAAGCAATTGCTCTAGTTGTAGATTACACAGTGTATATTCTATATTTTTTAACCCTGTTACAGATCATACCGTCTTGTATGCAGAGTCACCCCTGAAGAAGGAGCTACTGTCTCCGAAAGTCAGTTACTCATTTAGAGTTTCTGCAAATGTATCAAACTCTTCTATACTGTTTGAAATAAGCTTACTATGTAACAATACTGTACGGATAACATTGTAATTTATAATGTCTCACAATTTTTAAGATATAATGGGCATTTTGTTGTGTATAGCCCTTTAACAGGGATGTTGGCAAGTATATAGGAAACCTCCCACATTTGCCACATAAATACAAGAAGTTCATACCTTTTGTATATAGAAGGTTGGGTGCATATGGAATTTAAAACATAAAAACAATATCGAAGGTCTGAGTGTCCCAGATGCAGTACAATTGTTTGGAGATAGGCCAATACAGAAGTGAAACTACATTCTACTAAAGGCCTACTTAATTCACTCATAGCATTTTCATGGTCTGCCCTTGTGGTCTTGGATACAAGTGGAATCTAGGTAAAATTATTTTTTTTCTTGTTCAGAGATTTTATTAGGAATCGAAATAACATGAACATGTCATCAGCAAGATGGTACAGTAAACATAGGCAGGTACAATGGGTTAAATAGAACATAATGAAGAGAACAGTCAAGACATCTATCAAACAGGTAAGTTTGATAAGGAACCATGTCAAGCTATAGAAATTCAGCAGGTTCAGAGAGGGAGATGAGTAAATGATGTACCCTGGATATATTCGTGGATTTGATATAGAAACACCTAAACATACAATTCACAGTGTTTATGAAAAGAAAACATTGGCATCTGCTGTTTACTTGAGCCCGGAGCAGGCCTGGAGGGTGGTGATATTGGACGGAGTCGTGGCTATAGTAGGAGGTAGAAGATATGTAGAAAAACCTCCGTTAAGCTGAAAGACGTGAAAAGCAGATAAAGATGGAGGGAGAGTAGAATTCTGGAAAATAGCAGCGAGAAACGGGTGTGGGGGGGGGGGGGGGAGAAATCAGTAGAAAAAAAGGGGGGGGGGATAGGGTTGTCCCCGTGGGTGGGCAAGGTCTACTCAAGGGTGACACTGTCATTGCATCATGCATGGGGTTTGGAGAACTATGGGAGCAGTAGGGTGTTATCAAAGTTAGGGGGTAAGAAGTGCGTTACCCAGGGACTCCATAGGGCTTCAAATTTAGGTACTCTAGTAGCGTAGCCTCAATTTTGTTGTGGGCCATGGTTTGAGTGACCCGGTTTCATGTAGCCAGTATGCTGAGGTCAGGGGTTTTCCATGCCCTTGCAATAGTCTGTTTGGCCGCCGTGGTTATTTGGAGGAGTAGTTTGAATTGCCGGCGGGTAATGTTCAGGGGTTTCATGTTCAAGAGTGCCACTGCAGGATATGGTGGAATTGGAATGTCAGACAGTTTGGAAAGGATCTGAAATATATCAGCCCAGAATAGTCGTACTACTGGACAGTCCCAACAGATGTGCAAATGGTTCCTCGCAGATTCACAGTCACAGAAGCAGTGAGCGGGGTAGTGTCGTAGAAATTTGGAGATCCTGGCAGGGACCAAGTACCATCTAGTAAGGACCTTGTAGTTGGGCCACTACGTTTTGTGAGGAAGACTTGGTGGCTTCCCAGATGTGAGACCAGGCTACCAGACCGAGCTCTTTGTAGGTACGATCAAAGTAAGAAAGGTCAGGGGTGAAGGGGCCTGAGGGGAGAGGTAAAATAATTTTTTTGTGAATTTTCTTCCCCCATTATTATCTGAATACATAGTGGTAGAAGGATGGTGAACGTCTAAAACCAGATGTTAGTGTTAATAGAGGTAGATTGTATTGTTCCCGGGCTTGTAGCATACCATGAAAAAAAGTATGCCATACCTCTTCTCTCTCCCATCTTGTTAATTCTCCTATTTTCTGCCATACTCTTTTAGATCTGACCTATGCATTCTGGCACTGGCCTTTTGCAGATAAGGGTCCCTAGCTGTAAATGCAGAGCACCCCAAAGTACACTTTTTCAAAAGAGTACGGAATCTGGAGCATTTACTGCTTTTCATCTCCTTTATTGCTACTTTACGAGAATAGCATGCATATCTTTAAGGAACAGATGTTGACCAAATTGTTTTT